CCCGTATCCATTTATACGCTACATTGGTTATGTCTCTTTAGTCTCTTTTAACCCCAAACTTTTATCACATTTACTTCCCTTTTTTCAAGAGTACATTCCAGTTATTTTATAAAATGTCCTCATTGGCCTGACTGTTTCTTTGTATTTGATGTTTTTTTTTTTCCTAGCATTTCCAATAAACTATCAGCTAAATCTAAAGACTTGATTAAATGGAGATTAAACATTTGGCTCCACTAACACCATGTATTTCCATCAAGAGACACGTGATTCTTGTTATTGTGATTCTTGTTATTGTGATCCAAGTCTGATCACTCTGTTAAAGAGAGTAAACATCAGGTTGCTCTCATGCCAGGTACATATCTTCCCTCTATCATTACTAATTAACCTGTCTAGTGAGTCTTTATCACCATCAGAACATTCTAGTTATCAACTTTTACCCAAGGGTTTTAGGATCTATTGACAGTGCTTACCTTAATGTATCTAGTACCTTAGGGGTTACAAAATGGTGAATTTTAACATTTTTCCCGTTCCTTTATTTCTGCTTTGTAGTCTTCCTACAGAGAAATGATTACTACATTCACTTTTTAAAATTCATTTACATGAGTTGGGGATATAGCCCAGTGGCACAGCGCCTCCCTGGCAAGGTCCTAAGTTTGATTACCGGTTCAATAAATAAATAAGCAAATTAAATAAAATTAAATAAAACAAAGAAGTCTGACTGCCCTCAGATGGCTACAATTGGCAGAAACTCACAAGAGTGGACGTGGCAGAGGAGTCAGGCTCCTGACAAGTGTGAGAAGCCGTTTCAGTCGACACCTGCTTCTCACCATCTGACAGCAACCCTAACCTCAAGAAAAGGGTACAGGCTGAAGCCTGTCATGTCCCAGGCTTGAGAAAGATCACAATAAACCAAGGTTTTAAATCACCAAGTTTGAGACCAGAGATCTAGCTCAGTGGCGCTTACGCAAGGTCATGAGTTGAATTCCCGGTACCAAATAAATAAATAAATCACCAAGTTTGGCAGCGGCCCATGACACATCAGCGAGTCACTGACACACCCACTGTCCTGGCTATGTGACCTAACTGGCTTCAGGGGTCAGGTAGCTCGCCCCGCTCCTGTAATCTGTTACCAATGAGGAACAGCACTTTCACACTTGAGAGAGTGTACCTGTTCCTGGGGCTGTCCCACATCTGTCCCACCCAGGCCCACCCCCCCCAGCTCATCCCTCTCCTCCTCCTTTGGTGGCCGCTTCTGGCAGCAGATGCTTTGGCAGACTTTGCACACAGTCTGGAGCCTAAAATTATATCTCTCCCCTAGTTTTACCTAAAAACACTGTCAGTAAAGTTTCCACCCCATTTTTCTTGTTGCTTTTGAATGATTTCAAGGAAAAAAAGGAAAATGCCAAGCCCTATAGCCATTTGCATACCATACATCATTACCACACATTTTAGAATGGCTACCATTTTTTAATAGGCTATCACCTATTTACAGATTTTTTCCACTGTTTCACTATTATAAAGCAGTGCGACATCGTGTGTGTGTACGCGTGTGTGTGAACAAATACATGCCTAGGATACTTTTCCACAGATAGAATTTTGGGCTCAGGGGCCACAGAAGATGAGTGAGGGTTCAGTTCCACCAGGGGTGGAAGCCCGAGTGCCTGTTCAGTAACTTCACTCAACCACCGATATACTCACCGAGTGGCCTCTAGTTGTTTTGCTCAAAAGAACCAGGCCAGGCCAGTTCAGATCAGATCTGTGTGCACAGGGGCTTTTCCTGTCGCACTTTGGTCTCACGAAGCAAAGCGACTGAGGAATGGGATAAGGCAAAACAGAGGACACAGCTAGTTAGCAGGACACAGCAGCTAGGACGGGGTGCCAATTCCACCTTTATTGGCTGTGTGAACTGGGCAGATCGGTTAACCTCTCTCAGGCTTCCTAATCTGTAAAATAAGGATAAGTAACAGTACCTACCTTGTGGTTGAAGTGAGAAATGTTACTTAAATCGGTGTCTGTCACATAGTGAATATTAATATAAAAGATCCCACTGCCCCTCAAATTTTATGCAATCAGAGGGGGTACCAAGGTAAAGATGAGGTGTCAGCTTCTTAGAAGACATTTTTCCATTCTCCGAGAAAGCACATTGCTGAGAACGGTTGGACAAAGAGGAAGAAGAAAGAGAGGTGCGGTGGCCAATAGGCGTGTTTTGCCAAAGAGAAGGCTCTTGGGAGGAGGTAAGAGAACTTCAGGCTGCTGAGGGGGGGGTAATGAGGAACCGCTGCTGGACACCAAGTTTTTATATGAACAATATCACCAGTAGACACCTCAAAAGCTCTGATCTTTAACCATGCACCCCTTTGGGCATCAGAAAGATATGTAAAATTTGTCTTTCTTTGGTCTCAAAGGCCCATGTATGGTTGCGCAGGGTATCTGTGTAAATGATCTTCCTTACATGGGGCAGTGCACAGCTTGCACAACTGTATATGGCGGCTCTGTATGGCCCCCACCCTCACATGCTTCGGTCCTGCGTGTGTACTGTCTCCACAGCACACATGATCTCATGTGGACCACAAGGTTCTGAGGGCAAAAATATGGATTGTACAGTTGTTTGTTTTCTGGCTGTTATTGTTGTTTTTAGCAGTGACAAAGTTTATTTGAAAAATTAAAACTGAAGGGTGAGGGAGAAACTGGCTCTGGAAGAGCAAACTTGAGCCAAATAAAAGAGGAAGCAGCAAGATAAAAGTACATCCTGGAAGACACAGTGTGCGCTGTCCTGAGGAAAGCCACAGTTGCGAGCTTTTCATGGCATTGACGTATCCTCCGTGTCATCCAAATTTCAAGGGAACCCATGAGGACTTCTACATACGGGTCCTGAGAGGCGGTGCTAGGGTCCCACACCCCAGCTTGGGTCAGACCTAGCCCATTCTGTTGAAAACCTGCTCAAGTTCGCAGAAGTCCATGCGCAGGGCTTTGGGAACTGTTCTGCGCATGTAGGTCAGGCCTACTTCCCTGGCCAGCTTTGCCACACCTAATCTCCTGCCTCATTCTCCCCGTCATCCATTATGGGGTGCTGAGGGAGTGGAGGTCTTTTGTCTTCTACAGCTTCTTCGAGCTGGAGGGGCTGCAGGCCCCGCCTGCGGAGGCTAGCTGCACTCCAGCCACCTTCGGGTGCTGTGGCTCACTGGCTGGGATGAAGGACAGAAAAACGTCAGAAAATTGAGAAAAAAGTTAGTAGTCATGGCGCTGCCTGTTTGATAGGAGAAAGAAACTTCACTATGAGCCCAAAACTGTGAGGCCACTCAGATGTCCACACTTCCTGTAGCTGCATGTAGTCTCACTTTTTGAGGATAAATCTCAAGTCTTCCAGAGGCACACAGGAGCTTTCTCCTTTTGAGCGATGTTGTTCTTCAGACAGTTCAGGTGGGACTGGCTGTACTCAAGAAAGATGGATCCAGTTATCCATCCCTGCCACCCTACTGCAGCGGGTGTGGCAAAGATCACTGAGAAGGGGCCCTCCTGTTTTGGCTTTAAAGTGGGTTTCCCTCCCTCCAAGTTTTTATGAGTACCTGGTCTCCAGGATGGACAGTAGGTAGTCTCTCCAGGCCAGGAGCTAGCAGGACTCTAGTTTTTATCCTTCCACAGTGCCTAGTGCTTAGTTGGTGCCCAGTAATTGTTCCCTAGCTGCTCAGTGGGTAGTGGTTCTTATAACCCCAGGAGAACAAGGCAGCCTCCTTTGGGCCTCCTTGACCTTGCAGAGAGCTCAGTTCAGGTACCTTACATCAGGCACCAGCATCTAGTGTCCAGCATTCAGTCTGTCTTTCCATTGAGGCCTTTCCAACTCAAGTGTCAGGAAATCATTAGTGTCAGGGACTCTCAAGGGGAAAGGTCAAGTTCACCTAGCACTACAGTGTATGCGCTGTGCACTGCACAGCCCCATGGCATGGCTTGTTCATGGATACGATGCAATAGGTATGGATCCTGTCATCCAACCTCTAGCTGTGCTCCAGAGGCTTCTCTGGCCATAGTTGAAGAACTCTGTGTCAAACAATTACTCCCACCAGGCCAGAATCTGTTACACTCCCACCCCACAGGGGCTCACATCTTGGTCCCCATTCTGCCCTGCAGAGTCCTTTTCCCCGAAGTCTAACCATCTGTTTTGACAATAGCAGGCAGGCCCCATCGAGGTTTCATGGATTCCAATCCAGCCAAGAGGCAGCTGTGTTTCTGATGGACCCTGCCCCACCCTGCAGCCAGGACGGAAGGAACAAGGCTGAGGACCACCATGAGGACCTCCATGGGACCTCTCTCTGTTCTTGCACACCTATGTGCCTGGCTCCCACCTAAGAAACAGGCCTGGTGCAAAGGTAGGAATCAGGAAATTCAGAAGAAATTCCTGCATCCTTTTCAGCCCAATTCCCAAAGAATGGGACCTCTCAGGCACAGGGCAGTTTCAGGGAAGGTTCCCTCAGTGCTGACCTTTGGGCAAAGAGCCTTCCCCAAGCTTCTAAGAGCCCATCTGCCATGGCAGTGGTTTCCTCCTCCTGAAGGGAAGCACTGCAGGGAGCCAGCAACATTTCCCCTGAACTCCTTTAGTGCAAGTCTAGAATAAGACAAGGGTCTCCCCAGCACAGACAAGAAGGATGTGGCATTCTTGTCTCCCAGGAGGACCATGGATGCACCTTCTCCTGGAGATAGTAATCTGCCCTACCCTGCTCCACAGCCCTGTGGGCTATGCCATCTGCCTCTAGAAACCAAAGGAGGTAACAGCTCCTTTCATGCCTATAGGGTCAGGGGGTGAACACTAACCTATTGGGCATGGGGTGGGCACCTTCCCTGAGGCATCAGGGCTGAGCTAACAGGAGCAGCAGGGGAAAGGGCTGGTCCCTAGGGCAAAGTGTCAGGGAGGCACATGGCTGAGGGCAAAGTGTCAGGGAGGCACATGGCTGAGGGCAAAGTGTCAGGGAGGCACATGGCTGAGGGCAAAGTGTCAGGGAGACACATGGCTGAGGGCAAAGGGGAGACATAAGCTCTGGCTACCAGAAGCAGCTGAGTGGCTGTGGAGTCATGAGTAGCAGCCAAGAGGCAACAAAGGTTGGGGAGAGGTAGAAAAAGCCAGGCAGATAGGCTCCGGGCTCTCTTCTCTTTTGGAGCTACAACCAAAGTAAACGCTCACTCATTGCATAATCCTTCTATTTGTCCAGAGCTACATGTAGTCCAGAAACCTGTGCTGAGAGGTGACTACAGGAGGCATTGAGAAAGGACTGGACAAGGAGGGGAAACTGCAGGAGAACAAGGGTGGTCTTCATTGTCTCCAGGATGGAGATCCACAATGTATCTGCCCCCTACAACTTCTCCCTGCCGCTGGGCTTTGGCAAGCGCCCCACAGACCTGGCACTGAGTGTCATCCTGGTGTGCATGCTGCTCATCATCATGCTCTCGCTGGGTTGCACCATGGAGTTCAGCAGAATCAAGGCTCACCTCTGCAAGCCTAAGGGACTGGCCATCGCCATGGTGGCCCAGTATGGCATCATGCCCCTCACTGCCTTCTTGCTGGGCAAGGTTTTCTCGCTGACCAACATTGAGGCACTGGCCATCCTCATCTGTGGCTGCTCACCTGGAGGGAACCTATCCAATATCTTCAGTCTGGCCGTGAAGGGGGACATGAACCTCAGGTAGGACTAGAGGTGAGAAGGGAGCGGTCTGGGACAGAGTCACCATAAAGACATCAATTGAGGGGGAAGAGCTGGCTTTAAACCAGAAGCAGTGTGTGAGAGGTGGGTCAATGCCACCACAGGGGTTGCCGGCATTTAGTACCAAGAGCTTATGCCTGGGCAGGGGGCAGATGCTACGGTCCATTTTGGTTTAAGCATCAAGCCAAGCTGATTCAGAGGCTTTCTAGAGAAACTCGTCCCCTCAGAACATTTCAAGGGGAGGGTTCTAAGCATTATCTTAAAGGAGCATAGATTTCAACCAGAGCCCTTTGATAAAAACAGCCCCAAAATGAGAGGTGTCATCTCTGAGGATGGAGATGGGAGAATGGGTACAATGGGTCCCGAACACTACCAGGTGGACCAACATGACCTGGAACCAAATGAGTTCCCTAACCTTAACCCTAATTCCCGCACAACATGTAAGAATTCCAAAAGCTCCTCTAAAGTATCTGAGCCCTTGGGTATCTTCTCTTTAAGCTCGCTCAACCCCCAGAGTGCTTCTCAACAAAGGGGCCACCTTAGCTTAGCAGTAGGAAGACCATTAACAGACAGTCCTGTCCACAGCAACCAGCACAAATCCAGCAGAGTTCTCTGGACAGCCTGGAAACAGCGGCTGGTGGAACCCTTATCCCTCCAAACAGCCTTAAATGCCTGCTGGGAGGTGGAGAAGGGGACTCACACCTGCAGCAGCAGCCTGTGCTAGGCCTCAAGAGAACTCACTAACAGAAGCCTATGCTTTTGTCTGAGCCTCAGTCTCCAGGCAGTTCCCTCGGGGCCAGTTCTTGGTGGAGACTTATTCAACCCAGGTAAAGCAGTGAATCCAGAGTCCATCTGCTTGTGTCTGGGAGAACTTTGCCATGGCTTAAGTTTACCGAGAAAATTAACCTAGCAAAGAAGTATGTCTGGATGATGCAGAGTCACTTTTTTTTTTCTGTTTGCAGTGCTGGATATATAACCCAGAATTCACAACACTTAGGCAAATTTTTAAATAAAGACTGAGACCTGCTATCTGAGAAGTGCTGAGCTTTGCTCACATGACCCAGCCCTCCCTGAGAGTGTCGAGAGGGAAATAGGGTCAAAATAGATTCCAGTGTTTAACACCCTGACCTTGAGGAAATTCTTCCATCTTATCCAAGCACTTCCCAATGCAGAGCAAGCCAGCTGTCTTTGATTTGGCCTGTGGACAGGGCTCGTGCACCTCTGCATCCCAAAGAATGCAGACTGCACCCAGTTCTGTCTGCTGTAGAGGGGAGGCTGGAAACAGGGATTCAGGGAGGGAGGCTCGTGTGCTGGTGGACGACAATGGGCGAGTTTTCAACAGCTGTCCCCACAGTGCCAGCAGCGCGGCATTCCCATGGTTCAAGGGTCCCTGTGGGCCAGCCTTTCAGTGACTCAAGAACATGCTCAGCCTCCTGTCCAGGAACCTGGGGACTGTCAGCTCTTCCCAGACCCCACGGGAGAGCACGCTGCTGGGACAGATGTATCAGTCATAAAACCTCTTTTTTGGGCAAACCAGCCTCCCCAGCACATTAAACCATATCTCATTCCCCATGGGAGGGGCAAGACTTCAAATTCCAATCTGAGTTCAGCTGGGACTACTCGGCATGTGTACAATAGTGACAATGGTGGTAACAACCTGTGTTAACCACTTTACCTGGATAACCTACATGTGACCCTCAGCCCCCTGGGAAACTGGGTTTTAGAGTCTAATCCCTTTGCTCAGGTCTAGGCAGCGCCAGAACCTGTACTTTGACTCAGGTATCTTCAGGGACAGTGTAAACAAGGTGCCCGACAGGCTGTCAGCCTCAAAACTGCAAGCCCTTCTGAGGGCAGACATGGGTAGTCCATGGAAGCAGGCCCACTGCTGTCGCCGCTTCCTGCTTTCCAGAAGGCAGAATCTCCATTGTTACAAGAAATCTTTAAATTTTTAAGCATCACACTCAAATTTGAATTGTGCAAATCAAACATGAGCCTAAGAGCCAGGTGTGGCTCCAAGGTCATCTGAGACGTCTCCTCTGTGTCTGAGTCAGGGGGCATCAGGAAGCTACTGGGTTCCTTTTCACAGGTGAGGAAGTAAAAGTCCAGAAACCTGCAAAATGTTTCTTCAGATTTGTGGGGAAGTTTTGTCTAGAGCAGCCCACAGCTCTCCCCCTTGGTTATTCTGCCTCCTGCTGCACTGAGTTGAGGCAGCCTGCCATCAGAGGCCAACAGGTGGGTCCCTCGAGGCATCCCTCCGGGTAAGTGGTGCCAAGTACCCTCCAAGCTTAGTGGACCTGGCAGGCTGGGAACAGAGGAGAAGGTGCCTGTGGGAACTGACCACCCAAGTTTATTTACTCCCCACCCAACCAGCCCACAGGAGTGACCACAGCCAGTGGCTGTGGAGAAAGGAGGCTTGAACACAAAGATTCCTCCAGGTTTCTGCATCATGAAGACTGAAACCAAGACAGGATGGAAGCCCATTAGGTTCCCAGGTATTCCACTTCACCGTAGTGGCCGGTGACTCCCTCAGCTTCAGTCTCCGTTCTCTCAACTGATGAGCACTCAAAACCCATCTCTTGAATAGGGCATGAAAGCAGTATCCATGCAGTGCTCTTAGAACTTAAGTCAGAGAGCAAAATAAAAAAACCAAATGTGCCCTTTTCCCCAAGAGGCAGCCATGCCCACCATGGCACCATGCTCCTAATCTTGGGAGTCTGATGCTAGTCATGTCCCATTCCTTGTTTCTCAGAGAAAACTAAGAGTCACACCAGTCACGGTATCATAGGGGATAATGTCCCTGACCAGTCCCCAAAAACCTATATGTGTGGTTGGGAACATGGTTCCCATAAACCCAAGGGAGCAGGGCACACCAAGTCCCAGAGCAAACTCCACAGCTCCCAATACACCAAGCCAAAGCAAGCATGATTGTTCTGCTGTGGAACAACAGAACAAATACAAATTGCAACCTGTTCTCCTACAGAGATCAATAGCTATTACTCAAATCTGTGTGTCCCTGCCTGACCCCATTCTTCCTACTACACCCCAAAGGGAACACTTCTTAGGATTTGGAGTTCTGCATTTTTTTCTTAAACTACCGGCATAAGAAGCTGTATTTTGTTTTGAAAGTTTATACCAACCATCCATACCATTTGACAACTTGCTTTGGACAAAGGCACGTGAAAAAATAAGTATAAAACTGCTGTATAGTTTGTATTCCTGTTGTGTTGACAGCTTTGTGCCTTCATTCCCACTTCCACAGGCAGTTTTGTGTAAGGCCCCCTTGCTCAGGCGACAGCTTGCTTGGTAAATGCAGAACTACTGGGTGGTGGGATTCATATACCTTCAGCAAGTCTTCAAAGCAGCTACCCCACAATTCCTGGCGGTGTACACAGATGAAGAGCCCTGTTTTTTCTCTTTGTATTTAAAACTATTTTAAGACTTTGTATTTAAAAGACTGTTTAATCTTTGCCAACTGAGGAGTTTGGTTTTAAATTTCATTCAGTAAGAAGCTCTGTACCTTTAAAGATTTTTGGCCATTTAAGTATCCTCTTCTAAAAATGTTACTGACTTCCGGGTTTTGGAATAGTTCCTTGTTAATTTGTGAAGTTGTTACTTGTAAACATTGCAATAATCTATCAGTTTAGAGCCTATTCTTGCCCTTTGATAGTGGTATCTTTTGGTGTTTTAACGTAGTCACAATGTACAGATAACGGTTTCCTCAAACATTTATGGTTTGGGGTTTGAGAAATCCATATATGTGACCAGGGATATAGCTTGGCAGCACAGTGCCTGCCTGACAAGCACAAGGTCCTGACTTTGATCCCTGGTACAAAAAAAAAAAGAGAAAAAAGATCCCTATCTTAACAGTTACGAAGATACTCATATTTCTTTTGAAAAGTTTTAAATTCTTGCTTTTCATTTAGACTTTCCTTCAATATAGAACTGTTATGTATGTTGTGATCTTTTAAATTTCTAGAACGAATCTGGTTTTTTCAGTAATATGTAATCCTACCACTCTCATAAATCAATTATGTATGTTTGTGCCTGGATCTTTCTTTCTGATGTGAGTGGCTCCCCTTGAAGCAGTACATTTTCTTACAATGACTCTGAAAGTCCTCCTACCATATTCTTTTTGAAAAATATATTAACTATTCTTAGCTTCTACTCTTTCACTTTTAGGATCAAGTTTTTAAGTCTATTTAAAAAAAAAAAATCTAAGCTGGGAGTAGTGGAGCATGCCTGTAAACCTCAGCACTCAGAAGGCTGAGGCAGGTTGATCACTGCCAAGCACTGTGCTGCCAAGCTATATCCCTGGTCACATATATGGATTTCTCAGGATGATCACTTTGAGTTCCACTTGGGCTAGTAGGTTAAAGGCCAGTCCAAACTATATTGTGAAACTACAGTATCTCTAAAAATATAAAATACAGTTAAAAAAAAAAACTTTTAAGAATTGTAAAATGTTAAGTACATTTGCTTTACACTGTCAAAAGTAAATCTTCAGGATTTTGGGTCTTCCACCCACATCGGATAGCTTTTCTTTTACTTAGGCCTTTTATACCCATCTATGAAGTCTCAATTTCATCAGTAAAGACCCTGTATCTCAGGCAGTGATACATGCCTATAGTCCCAGCTACCAGGGAGGGAGAGAAGGATCACTTGGGACAAGTTTAAGGCCAACCTAAGCAACACAGTACTGTCTCAAAAGACAAAGCAAAAATAAAATAGATTTACATGTATTTCATATTCTGATTATAAATGGTCTTTTTTTAAAAGAATCTTTGCTATTAGTTCCTAGCCTATTGATTTGCAATTGTTTTGGGGGGGATTTTTTGGTACCAGCGATCAAACTCATGACCACACACTGGCAAGGCAGGTTCTTATGCCAAGCTAAATCCCTGGCCCGCAATTATTTTATACTGGCAATATATTTAGAACTTTGTGCATTACTTGCTAATTATAATGCAAATTTTCTTCTCTGGACAATCCTATTATTGGCAAAAAACCTACTTTTCTCATTTCTATATTTTGTTGACTACTTCCCACTTCCCATCTCCTGCCTCCTGTCTCAGTTTCCAGAGTGCTAGGACCTATACTTTTTCAATTTCTCATTTTGCTGGGCTAGCTATGGACTATACAGTACAAAAGGTGGCAATAGGTACTACTGCTTTTCCTTTTTACAGGAAATCCTTCTAGTTTTTCATCAGCTTAATGTCTGCTATAGACTTTGAGATCCTCTTCACAATTTGTAGTTCCTATTATTGCTAAAAATGTTACATTTTTAACACAAGAATACCAAATTTGGGTCTGTTCTGCACCTATAAAATTATGTCTTTTTAATCGGAATAACTATTGCCTCCTCTACTTCTCCACCATTACAACCAGTCAGTTATTGGTTCTATTACTTAGATATTTCTTACATCAGTTGCTAACCATGGTCTCTGATAACTGCTATGGTTTTTAGCTTCTGCTAAGTGCACTGTCATCTATTTCCAGAGAGTCACTGTGAACCACAAGGTAAAACACACTACAGTTCACCTTTTCAGCTGGGCAAAGCTACTACAGCCAGCTATTCCCTGCAATCTAAGACATTTAGCAACTCTGTGGCAGGTGCTATTTCAATGATCTTAATTCAAGGCGATGGGGCCACATAGGTTAACTTTATTCAAAATTGGTTGTGCATTTGGCAGGCATTCAAAGTAAAGAGTTCTATTACAGAGATCAGAATGGCTCCTTCAATGAAAAACACAGGGACTTGGTCACATTACTCATGCGATTTGGGTCAAGTCACAACTTTCCTAGTCCTGTTTTCTTATGAGACAGCATACATAGTGCCTAATATGAAGCAGTGTTTGAAAGCACTTATCACAGCACCCAGCACATGGCAGGAATTCAATACTAGTCTATTAATGGGCTGCTTCCCCCTCTTCCCATGTATCCTCAGCATCATGATGACCACCTGCTCCACCTTCTGTGCCCTGGGCATGATGCCTCTCCTCTTGTTCATCTACTCCAAAGGGATATACGATGGGGACCTGAAGGACAAGGTGCCCTATGGAGGCATCATGCTATCACTGGTCATGATTCTCATTCCTTGCACCATAGGAATCTTCCTAAAATCCAAACGGCCACAATACGTACCCTATATCAAAAAGGTAAGATGATGGGGATCCTACCTTTGAAAGCATCGAAGGCAGGGAGCTACAGCATTGCTTATCAAGGCTGCTTATGAAGAGAGGCTCACGTTGGCTGGGCACCCCCTGGTTGAGCCACAGTGACTGGTACATCAGAGTAGAAGCACATGCTAAATCAAGTGGTTGTGGTGGTGGTTCTCACAATCGACCTTCCACATCTGGCTCCATCTCCTAAAGATGCACTGTACCTCCCAGTAATGCCACCCTGGAGACCAACTCCCACAGAGCTTTGCAGACACATCCAAACTACAGTGGTTTTTGTGGTATGTACATGTTTCCTCATATATTTAAATAAAGAAGCCCATTCCTGGTGTACTCACTTCTTCATGGTTAAGTATAGGAGAACAGTTTTAAGGTTTGGGAAGATAAAAAGTAAAAACACTACACATAATGCAAGGCGTAACACTTTAACGAAGTTGTAATTACGCTCCTACTAGATCTAGTTATACCATGTACTGTGATCATTCAGTCCGCAGAAAGTGAAGCAATACAGAAGACCCAGTAACTGTGTACAAATAGGCATTGGCAGAATGTAAGGGAAGATTACTAAGGACAGCTGGGTGTGCTGGCACACATCTGTAACCCCAGTACTCAGGAGGCTGAGTCAGGAAGGTTACTGCGATTTAGGGCAGCCTGGGCTACAGAGTTCAGGGGCAGCCTGAACTACAGACAAGACACTGTCTCAAAAAAAAAAAAAAAAAAAATTACTGAGGACTGACGTGGCCAAAGTGATTCCTTGGAAGGGATGGGCTTGAGCCAGTCCATGACAAGTAGGACTTAGTTAAGTGTGGAGAAAAGGTTGAATAGTTTACAGAGGATCAAGGACAAACTTGGCAAGAAGGATGACATCTGAAGAGTATACATATGCCCAACATTCAGTATTACTATTAAACCAAAGACCTAATACAAGTAGGCAAGCTCTGCACCAGTGGGAGATATGCCCAGCCTGACTCTGAAACTTTTAATTCATTGTTTCAACATTGTAGGAGGCCTGAAACTTATGCCCCAGAAGCAGAGCACTTCGCTGATAATGTATTATTCAGTGATGTGTCAAAACAGTTGTACTTGGTTTCTCAAGTGTTAGTCCTTTCTGTCCTAAGAAATTTGTTTTTAAAAAGATAAAAAAATTTTCAGTCCCTTGCACTTATGTACTAATGTTCTAAATGTTTTATATCTGGGCATGTATGCACATGCCTGAAATCTCAATATTCAGGAGCCAGGAGGATCGCATATTTAAGCTCAGCCTGAACAACTTAGGACACTCAACACAGAAAGGCTGGGGACAGTACGATATGGCTCAGTATGATATGGCTTAGTATGAAGGACCCAGGTCCAAAAAAACATCTTCCACTTCCTGATCGCACCCTGTTCTCCTATCACCCTAATTGCTTTTTTTTTTTTTTTTTTTTTTGTCATATCCAGGGAGGAATGATCATTGTTGGCCTTCTCAGTGTGGCCATCTTAGTTCTCAGTTTCATCACTGTGGGCAAGAGCATCATGTTTGTCATGACACCGCACTTGCTGGCCACCTCCTCCCTGATGCCTCTCATGGGCTTTGTGTTTGGTTACCTTCTCTCTGCTCTCTTCTGCCTCAATGCACAGTAAGTATTAGTTTAGATCCCATTGTCACATAGCCTCAAACTCACTGTCATCTTTCAGGGAAAAGACAGAAGTTAGAATCCTGAAATCTGGGCATAACATTTTCCTAACAATATGCTCAAAGGCACCAAATGAAGAAGGAACTAATGTGTTATGAGTTAAGAGTTAAAAACAGCCAAGAGGCTGACAAAAGCCCACCCCCCCCAAGAGTCTAGACTCCATCTCTTACCCAATTCTCTGCAGTTCAAAGCACTGAGGTAGTTTCATGCAACTGCAAATTCTCCTCTCTTCCTTTCCCACTTTTCCTCTTCTGCCTAGCCTTCAGTCCTGACAAGGAAGCCGTTGGTAACAGCTCTAAGTGGCTCTCCAACTTGAAACACACAGCTATAGTCCAACTTAACTGAAGTTACTATATAATAGAAATCATTTGAGCCTAAGATGAAAGCGTGTAATCTATTAACTGGTGATAGCTGTTTTTTTTTTTTTTTTTTTTGGTAGTTCTGAATTACTTGTACCCTTACACTGTTTTGTTTTGTTCTGCTTTTTTTCTCTTTTTCCTTTAAAAAAAAAAGAAACCATTTGAGGGCACAGCATGTACATAATCTATACTGTCTAATACAGGAACTTTCCTACTTATCAGCCCTAGCAAATGCTTACCCCCAAAGGTACCTAATAAATATGTATTTTCAAAATACAATTTACAAAATACTCACCTTTAAAGCTATGTTTTTTGTTTTGAGGTAAGGTCTCACTATGTAGCCCAGGCTAGCCTCAAACTCATAGAGATTCTCCAGCTTAAGCTCCCAAGTTCAGGGATTACAGGCATGTGCACGTCCAGGCAAAGCCACATTGATGTAATGAAGAACAAATTACTATAGATATAACACTTAAAAGGTAAAAGCTATGACCACAAGTGTCATTTTTCACTAGTACAGGATATTGAAGATCATGATAAATAGCCCTATTACAAAGTATCAACACTATACTTCTCTTTTACAATGTATGTGCTATAAGATATTTTCAGTAAGACAATTATTTAGCACATTTGGAATTCTATTAACTAAATGTGTATTCACTAAATGTAACTACCTTACTCTTACTATTCATAAATAAATTCTAAAAACATCTTTCAAAGACAATGGAGCTGAACATCTTTCAAAGACAATGGAGCTGAATCAAATTTTGGCTTCTGTCAGAAGTCTGAGTTATGTCTAAGCCAGAAACTTAGAAACAGGATGTCCTGGGCATTTCAAATATCTTCTTCTATCTTATTAAAAATCACCTGTTTTATGGGCCCAATGCTACGGGCCAATTGATGATACCAGTTCATATCTACCTTTCAGTCCTTACCAGCCAGACATTTTCTCCAAATTTCAATCTGGCAAGTCTATGAAGTCAAACAAACTACTCAAAACCTCAAACTTCCTGACCATTACAGCCACCATCTTCAACAGGGCTGGATCAGTATAACATGACGGTTCAATTAACACTGTTTCTTAAATCCATATGCTCTCCACAGTCTGGTCCCTTCCATCTGTACATGCTGGGTTTCAGTGGGTCCTAAAGTATCTGGGAAGGGGGAAAGTGAAGTAGAGTAACTTTCTCAGGTCATTCTTTGAGTACACTGAGTATTTGAACCTACACAGGTGCAGACGCACTGTCAGCATGGAGACTGGAATTCAAAATGTTCAGCTCTGTGCTACCATCCTCAACGTGACCTTCAGGCCTGAAGTCATTGGGCCACTTTTTTTCTTTCCTCTCCTCTACCTGATTTTCCAACTTGCAGAAGGATTTTTCTTCGTCATCATCTTTCGGTGCTATGAGAAAATCAGTCCACCCAAAGGTAAGTAATAACTGCATCCTTCTCCTTTAAATTCTGAATCCATAATGGACCTGAGTTTGCCAACAAGCCAGTTTCTAGCAGGACTTTACAGATGGGAAAAAGGAGGGAAGAACAAAGAGCCAATGCTAATTCCACTAACTACCCTCCACTTCTGATTCTAGCGGGTGGGGCAGGGGTGGGGGTGAATCGAACTATAAGTTTCTTTCAGCGAATTCAGGGGATCTGGGCTGGTGGGGAGACTATTTCAATCTATGAAGAAACAGGGAAAAACTGTTCAGGCACAGACAGTTCTACACTACTGGTGTGACAGAACTCAGGAAGCATCTTTCTGTAGGAGCAGACTTTCCTGCCCTGCAATGAGGTTTAAGTTCTGGTATCAATGACACCCAGGAAGAACCTACGAAAGCAATGCAGTCCTATATAATCTAGAATCCAGAAAGAATTTAACTCTAGTTATACAACAATTCAAATGCATACTTTTTAACAGTAACTACCATAAGCTTGATTTCTATTTTATTACTAATGTAGCACCATTTTCTTAATGTAAATTTCCTCTGATATAATCAAACCTCAAGAAAACCTAGAATATTCCCCCTTCGAAGTGCACTGTAATTCCAAGTTTGGTTTTCTGTAACAGAAACTGAATCCAGGGAGCACTGGATTACATTGCCAGGGTTTGTTTTTTGGAGGGAGACAGTCTCACTAAATTGCCCAGGTTGAGCTTGAACTTGTGATCTGCACGCCTCAGCCTCCCCAAAGCTGAGGTTGTAGGCATGTGCCACTCACTGGCACACATGTCCAACCTTGCTTTTTTAATATTTCTAAAGTATAACTCAACCAGCAGACGATTTTTCCTAACCACTTACACAATTCCTCCAATTCTTCATGACTTTTAGGCCTCTTTAAGCTTGCTCAGCCTCCTAATTGTGACTTACACTCTACAGAAACATACAACTTTTCCAGGTCAAAGTCATTATTACCATGTTAAACAAATGCAGACTTTCTCCTCCTCTGCAATTAACTTAAGACATACTATTGTATAATCAAGCAGGGAAAATGAAACAAAAGGCTGACTGAACTCTAGAACCATTTTATAAGCGTTGGTTCAGAAAATACAATGTCATTTACGGAAAAGAACCTAAGCCTAAACCATCTCAGAACAAAACATTTGTTGCCAAACACGATTCTCCCTCAGTTTAAAACACACACACACACACACACACACATGTAGTCTAGATAAGACAGGTTCCAGGTTTAAAGTTTTAGTTCAGAAAGATCTAAAATGCTCTTCAAGCACCAACACTTCACAGACTTAAAACCTATGAAGAATTTCATTAACCGTCTGCTCTGCCAAGACCTCAGTGGCAAAACTCTTTAAGGGGCTGGGGATTTAGCTCAGCAGCACAACCACCTCCTTTGCAAGAGAAACATCATGAGTTCAATCCCTGGTACCCCAGTATCAAAAAAAAAAAAAAAAAAACCAAAACTGATGTCTGGGACTGGGGATGTAGCTTGGCGGCACAAGCGCCTTCATGGCAAGCATGAGGTCGAGTTCGATTTCCAGTACCAAAAAAAACCCCTCAGATTTATCTCTCTGGAGCTCAGGCACCACTTCTAGAGTAAGAGTAAGCAGGTTGTCACAAAAGTTTCCTTACTCATCTTACCTTCTGTACCCTCTCACAGGGATGGGAGGTTCCCCTTCTCTACCCAGGCAGGAAAAGCAGTAGCCCAGTGTGTGCTGGGAGTCTGGAAACTCTCCTGGTCAGATTTCCCTAAAGTTCTTTCCTCCTTGCCCAGTCCCTATGTAGAGAAAGCAAGTCACCCTCACTTATATAAACTTATCCCCCTCATTCTTTATTGTTATACCTACAAGGAAGTTGTAGGTGGAGTGGTGAAAACTTGGTATTTCAATTTACTGGGCATTCTGTTGTTAGTGCTACCATTAGAAAAACTAAAGGGAAAGCACATCTTCCTCCAGAATCATGGCAGGAGGAGTGAAAAAAATGTTAAATACAAAGCATGCCCTATGAAGAGTCTGGAGTTCCTATATAAAAGTGAATTATGTACTGCTCTTTTCTCTCCAACCATTAAGCCTTTTTACCTTTACAGACAAAAACAAAATGATCTACAAAGTTGCTGCAACTGAAGAATCAATTCCAAGAGCTCTGGAAAATGGCATCCACAAAGAAGAGCAACACAAAACCTAGCCCTTTTCTTGATGGCCTAGATTCCCGTCTCATGGCAAGTCAATAAACCAACATGTAAACAACAGAGCACCAAAAAAGAAAGGAACAACGGTTCCTGACTCTTTCTCTGACACTTCCAGAAAACCTTTATTTACAGCACAGCAGAATTGTCAAGTTTGGGTCTCGACAGCAGTATCTATGCAGGAAACCCCAGTTCAAGATTTGGTACTTGTTTAAAAAATAAGAGCCTAGCTCAACAACTAATAAACCCAAGGAGACAAAAACTGTATCTTCCATCTTTTGCCCCTGGATCTCTAGAAAAATGCCATGTAAAGCTTATTTAAAAGAAGTCACTTGATTTCTGAACTAATCAATAAATGGGTACTCCATCTATTAATCAAATATCTAAATGCCACTTCAAAGTTTTATAAACCAAAAGAAAAATTAACAGACTACAGATATTCCAATCTAAATAGCCCAGATCCTGTTCTATCCCACTGACATCATCTGAAGTTCCTGAGAACCCAAGTCAACACCAAATATACAAAAGCAAAAACAAAATGCACAGGCAAGTAAACAAGAATCAAAACAGCTACTCGCAGCTCTATTAAAAGATTTTTGAGTACCAGAAACACAGACAGGAAATAAGGCCAAGGAAACACACATCAACAATTTCATTAATCATATCATCATATGTAGCATATACCCAAAAACTCAGTCCCAAACTATTAACAAAGAGTAGTTTCATAGGGGCTGGGGATTTAGCTCAGAAGCATAAGCACCTGTCTTGCAAGCAGGCAGTTGTGAGTGCGACCCCCGGTACCGGTAAAAATGAAAAAAGACAAAAAAAAAAAAGTAGTTTCACAACTCAAATAGAACCCCCAAATTTCACTTTCTGTGAAACATTTTACACACCACTCACAGATAAACACAGAAAGAATAACTCACTAATAGTAACACTTGCATACTGCTGACTATGCCCAGATACTTGTGAATTTCCTATAAGGATTATCAGGTACAACTGAAACCACAAATCAATTTCACTAGAGCGCCAGTCTTAGAAGTATATAGGAATAACAAGTACTCCAACACTAGGTCAAGAATCATCAATGAGCTGGACAAAACACACCTGCGATCCCAGCACAGTGCTGAAGCAGGAAGATCACCCAAAGCAAGTCTGAGCTATACAGTGAGTTCAAGGCCAGCCTTAATTACACAGTAAAACACTCAAAATATCAAAAAAAGAAAACAACCCAGAACTATCACCAGTGGGGTCACTAATAGGGCTAGGAGGATTATCTGTTCAAATTCTCTTCTTTAATATCCAAAAGACATTAGCTAGACTTGGTTACCTACAAGGTAATATAGGAGTCTGTAACAAGTCTATTTAGCTTTAGATAAAGGTTACAAGATGGACTTGAGAGGTATCAAACTGTCCTTAATAGAACTAGATGAAGGGAATATAAACATAAAGACTTCATCATGTCCTAGAGACTGATCCTAAAATTCTCCTTAATATCACATCCACACTGTTCATGACTTCTCAAGCCCTGGGTCTTAGTAATGAGCTTAATTCAAACTGATTACCATTTTGGAATTATTACTTCTATCAGTTTTTTCAAAGAAAACTTTACTCCCTCACAAACACCTATAAAACACTTATAAAAAGTAGTAAGCCTGTGATCACTAATTTAAGGGTAAAGGCAGAAGAAGAAAAAAAAGAACTATAAAGTTCAAATTATATACTGCCCTGAATACACCTAGAGTTTGGTAAGTACAGGAATAAGAACTGCAAGACTGTAAATGAAAACTCTATTACATTTAATAAACCAAGTTCCCTCAAGAAAATAAACCACGTATATCACAAACTCTTAAATTCAGTCTATTAAAAGGATCTAAATTTTTTCATGGCCCAAGTTCTAGGTTTGTAGGAAAAGGGCCTTCATATAAGAACATCTAACATAACCTACTCCCCACAAAAAAAAAGATTCTCTTTCTCTGACCCCCAAGAAGCCAAAAGCTAATTTTTTCTGATTCCATCTTCCTGAAAAGCTAGAGCAGAAAATAGTACTATTCAATTCTGTGGTCCCTAAAACCAGACTTGAGACTCCCTTCTGTAATATGATGGTTATTACAGTTTTAAAGACTCAGTTAACATAACAGGTAAGCACTTAAAAAGTTACTTTGATGTTAAGCAGATCTCACAAAGTATTTGCCTCACTCCCAAAACAAAGGACAAAGAATGGTCTTTGTGATTCCTAGAATTAAGTTCATTATATGGCAGAGTTTGAAGACTTAGGTATAGAACTCTAACACCAGGATGAAGAAATATACAGACCTTAAGCACTTTACACTGCTGTCTTCCCCTAAATATCTACTTTCACATTTACATCTAAGAACCAAAAGCAGCACCTTAAACTTTATCTTTTTAATCAACTCAGGCTACCCAAACTGTACTATAACAGGCCAGAAAGAAACAGACTTCATAACTTTCTTTCCAAACTGTCCTTTTGGCTTTCAGTAACTTGACACAAAAGGGTAAGAACAGACGAGGGAACGATGTGAAGAACACACACAAGGTCAACTGTCAGACAACTCAGTTGTCACTGTTTTCAACAGTTCACTGACTTCTCAGCCTCTTCAAGTAACCTGGAAATGTCAAAAATATTGTAATACCAGGATCTGCATTACAGATTGTAATTACAGATCTGTTGTGTTTTAAACATGTGGAAGGAAATGGGAGTAACCGTACGTAGGAGTTCTTCAAACACACAAAAAAGCCATTTTATAATATTTTATTATCAATGACAAACAGTTGCCTGTCTGTCCTGTAACTGTTGAGTGGGTAGGAGGACACCCTTAACTCTAACAAGAAAAACTCAAATTAAGCCTTTATATACAAGCAAACTTAGAGCTCTTTTAGGTGTCCAAAGCTATTAATTAGTTTAATTGAAGCATTAAACTAATTCTTAACATATTTGAATAATCAAGAACTAAAATGTTCAAAATTTTTTCTAGTACAAAAAAATTAAATTTGCTTTAGTTATAAAAGAGCTCTGTCAATGTACACAAACTATATACTTCAGACATTCACAAAAATGTGAGCAGAAGGCTTATCAAAAGACATTTAATACAATTAGTTTTCAACAACCCCTTGGTGGTCCACATCTACAAAGATATCCAGCCCAACCCAACCCCCTCCAAACCCCACCCCACAGAAAAGCACATACTTACCAGAATTTTTAGCAAGTATGGTTTGGGAATTTGTTTTTGTGTTTTAAAAAAGGCCCCTAGGGCAAGTTATTTACAGTTTAATTGCCACTGTCAGCTGATCTGGACCTGGACCTGGACCTGGACCTGGACCGGGACCTCTGGCGATCCACAGATGCTGGAGACTTAGATCTACTTGAAGAACCACGTTTCTGGCTCTTCTCAGGCACAGGAGACCTACTACCAGAACGGGACTTGCTCCGGCTCCGGCTTCGGCTCCTCGACCGGCTGTAAGACTTGCGACTACGGGAACGAGATCGGCTACGAGACCTAGAGGAACTCCTGGTCCGTGATCGAGACCTGCTTCTTGACCTACTACAAAGAACATGAATAAAGGAAAACAAAAGGGGGGAAAAAAAGTCAGCCTATATGACAGGTCATGTAAGTCCATTAAATAAAACTTTTGACTTCAAAATATATAGCATACCTGTGCCTTTTGCTGCCTTCAATTAATTTTATTTTTCTCCCATTTATTTCCTTTCCAGAAAGTTTTTCAATAGCATTCTTTAAGTCACCATAAGAGGCAAACTCAACCACCCTAAAATAAAAACAGTCATTTTAAAAGCACATAAATCCCATGATCTCACACACTGTATATAGCAGGCTCAATTAGAAAGCTGGTGCTCTGTTTTTGTTATTGCTATTTTAAATCTTATTTCCAGTGAAAAATATAACTCAGCAAGATTCTGACACAGCTGAAATTTTGAGCCACACAACTCCTCACTAAGGGACTTCTATGCAGCACTGTCTGATTTTAACAGAACACCTGGGCCTCTACCCTCTAAGTACCAGCAGTACCAACAATCATTTGACAAGAAAACCAATCTGTAGACACTGTGCCAAATGTTGTAGGGAAGCAAAACAGTCCTTGCTGAAGAACCACTGTAGTCAATCATCTTGAAATGTTACTGCTCAGAAATGTTTGCAATAAATCTTTTAGGCTATTGTCTCAAAAGTTTTTCGCCACTTCCAATACACTCACCCTTCATTTAATTTAGGTCGATGTGCATCCGCAAAGGTTACTTCCCCAGCTTGTCTCATGAAATCTTTGAGATCCTTAACACAAGACAATTGTTTCAAGCAGGGAAGAGGAAAAAGTGACACACAAACAATCACATGGTATAAAAACAAGACTACTGAAAGAGAAGTTGTTAGATAAAGTACAAACATGGCATATACCACACTTGTATTCTATCAGAAATCAAAATTATGTCAGGGCACGAAATAAGCAAATAGCATATTGCTTTTAAGCAAAATGCTAGAGGAAATAGAGACTTTTAACATTAAAGTAGTATTAGTCTATACTGAGCTCAGTACAAAGAAAAAAAACAAACAAACAAAAAACAAAACAAAAAGAAACAGTACATATTTTTAAAGTAAGGACTAAAGTAGAAGTTTTATATTTAAAAAACAGAACATTTACAAGACACCAGTTATTTTGTGCCCCAGATGTCATTAAAAAATTTTACATTACCTTTATTAATATTTCCCTAGGCTAGTCAAGCAGCAAACCATTAATCGGTCGGAGAAACCTTCATGACAAATGCCCGACTGGCTCTTCGCCACCCACTTGATGGATACTACCCAATCGTGGAAGCCTTTATCGCACAGCCCTCCCTATTAGCAGACTACTGGCGATGCAGACATGTTCTACTCTTGTGCAGTTACCAAGGAACACTTTACTGCGATCAGGATTCCAACGACCAACTAATTTCGTATCTTTTCAACTCTTTCGACCAGGACCTCTTATTCGGAAGCGTTACAGAAGACAGCTCTCAACTTAGGGATCAGATCACGTTATCAAGGCTCTGGGATCGCTGCAACCCGGCACTTCAAGAAAGTGCACCGATTACGTCTAGACCGGCAAACACAGATCTAGAGGTGGCCAATTGATCACTGTAGGAGCTGACTGGCAAAGTCAACCAGGCCCAACCAAGAGTGACCAAGACAACGATTAGGATAACCCACAGGCACTCCTCGTCATAAGGCCAACGACACAGATAGGCTGGCAAATAAAGGGTTCAATATTTGGTTAAAATTGATTTTAAAGAACATGAAAAAATATCCTCAAAACATTTACATTTGATCACTAATATTAACATTTGAAACATCCCCCAGTTACATTTAATTAAAATTTAAAATTATAATTCAATTAAATTCATTAATTTAATTAAATATAAACTACATTTAATAAAATATATTAATAAAACATTAATTGCCCATTAAAAAATTTTAAAGCCACATTTAAATAACTCAAAACTATTTTCAACAAACCTGCCAGCTGACTCTGGAGGATAAATTCTCAACTATAAGTCGATTTTCTGTTCTGACAGGTGGAGCATTTCTGAGGAAGAAAATGAGTATTCACAATGGAAAAAACGCAGTGTTATGTGCAGTGACATGTGCATTTGTGTTCAACTGTGGACAAGTTCAGGTAATCAGGGTATTAGTCATTCAAATGACCTCCACCAACAGTTCCTATGTTAACTCGGTACCACTAATTACGTATTAGAAACAGCACTGTATCATAAACTAAAGTATCAGGATCATTTACTGCAAATGGTTCCTGAACCTTAAACAGTCACTGCAGTAACAATTGCTCAAAGCAGCCGTTCATCTGCTACATACCGTCTATCATTTCGAGGTCTGCGACTACTAAAACGATCAGAGTAGCGTCCTCTACCTCTTCCTCCTCGAGACCGAGCCCTAGCATGTTCAATAGTAACCCTGTAGAAAAGAAAAATCTCTATTACGTACATAAGCTCTATACAACGATGTACTGTACTTGATCCAGCTGACCTACTCTATTTTTAGGGGTAATTATAAAATTAAGTGTCTCACCTTTCACTACAAAGTTCTTTTCCATCAAGTTCATATACAGCATCATCTGCATCCCTCGGATCCTCAAATTCCTAAAACAGAGCTTAAGATGCTTACTGGGGCTTCAAGCATGCTTTTTCACAACACAGTAGGTACACTAAAAACCTGAGACAAGATGGGAAGAGCAGTATCTTAACATCAAGATACAGATATACCTAATCAAAGGGTGATGGGGAATGGATTCCAGCTGGCTTTAAGTTAATCTTTAAAATTCAGGCTCAAGGCTCCATAATCTTTTCTGAAAACCAAACTTAAAACCAGGACTCAATACCAAAATTAGTGCTTATCAACAGCTTTCCACACTAACAGACAATTCATCCAGTTCTAAATACTTACCACAAAACCAAACCCCCTTTTCAGATCAATATCCCTGATCCGTCCATAACCCTTGAAGAATCTTTCGACGTCTTTCTCCCTCGCCGCTGGATTTAATCTCCCGATGAACACTCGACAGCCACTCATGGCCTCCGGCTAGTGTGTGCCCTGTTAGAAATATACAGTTGACAATACCAATGAATGGTACATTATGTCTAGCGATCAAATACATAGATGGTATAAAAATATTTACCTAATAATGCTATATATATGACTATAAACAATGGCTCTTAATAGACAGATGGCATAAAAACATTTACTCAATAATGTTATATATATGACGACAAACAATGGCTCTTAATCAACTCAAACACAATTAAAACTCGGCTCCCAACACGTTACCCTACCATACAGCCTGCATCAACCGCAACGCCCACTGCCACCTCTCCAACTGCGCAGCCGCACTCTCCCCCACTCGCCCCACCCCCATGACTCCCGCGACCCCTCCCATCTGCCGCAGTTCCGAAAAGCCGAGAAGCGCGGGTGGAGCAGGGCCCGCCCTCTGTGACAGTAACCAATGGCGGAAAGCCAAGACCGCGTCACCGCTCGCTGGGAGGGTCACTGGAGTCGGAGGCGGGATCACGCGAGGCCCCATCGCGCCTGCGCACTCGGCAGCAGGCGGGGCCACTAGAGCCACAAAATGGCGACTGCGGAGTCAGCGGCGGTGCAGAAGCGCTTGTGCCTTACTCCCTGCTCACTCCCCTTTCCTCCGCCCAGCCGGGCCAGAGGCCCCGTGCACGCCCGGGGGGCGCCCTAACGGCAGCCCGAGCAAAGCCAGAGCGCGCCCGGCCCACTACAGGAAGGGCCGACCAATGACAAGCCTGGCAAGTTAGAGCGGGCGAGCCCTCTATAAAAACACCGTGACCGCCCTTCCACCTACACCCCTCAAGCAATACCAAAAACGAGACGTGCCCCAGCGCCCACCTCGATCAACTGCGCTCATTAGACGCCGTCCTCCGCAAAGAGAGCAGCCCCCACCGCTCGCGACCTGAGCGGCCATGAAGAAGCCTCGATCCGAGGAGCCTTGCCCTCAAAGTGAGCCACTCACCTACCGGACAGGATCTTTGGCGGCTGAGACCCAGAAAGGTCCGTAGTCTGCGACAAAGCCGTCTACCTCCCCGCAGACCAGAACACAACTCGTCTACGTCTTTCCAAAACTGACGCACTTAGTGGCTCCGGCTGTCCACAAAATGGAAGGCGCGTCTCTGCGTCACTTCCGGGGCCGCCCCTAGGGCTTGGCTGGTCCTCCCCGTTGGATTCAGGGCGGAAGTGGGGCTTCCTTTCCTTGACCCAGAGAACGAACCTCACCGCGGTGGGTGGGGCTGTGGGCGGGGCTGTAGGAACAACGCCCACAGGGAAGTTTTCTGTGCCTGGGTGATTTAGTTGGGTTCGTCGTCATCTCTGAAATAAAATTAGGCTGACCAGCAGCCCTTTTTATATCTAGTTTTTCCTAGATATTCCAAGAGTCACAGCCTCCTCCTCTGTCTCTTGTTGCGTGCAATTTAGGGGTGCCCCTGGAGGCCCAAGTGAATTCCCTGAAATGAGCTCTTGGCGTGCAGTTTTCTTGCAGCACTGGAGTTGAACGCGGATTTTGCCACCCTGGGCCTGAACTGGCTGCAAGGTGTCAAGCTGGTTGTTGTTTTTGCTTTTCAAACTTAAGGTAGTATTTGATTAGTCCTCCCGGCTTAAATTTCAGTAATGTGATGCATGGACATCTGTAATTCTTCAAAAGCAAAGACTTGGGCTTTCATGGTGTAATAATACACGTACACACACACCCCCACACACACATCTCTTTAATTCCAGTATTTACCCTGTTAAATTTGGTTGGCCTAGAAATTTGGGTATAAAGAGAATGATGCTGAAAACTTTCTTTCATGCTTCTAGGTGAAGCCCAAAGCAGACCATTTTTGAAAAGTACACAGAATCTAGGATTGCAAACTTGCAACTAGAGTTACAGAGAGATAAATAAAATAGTTCAGGAAAGAGAAGAGCAACTAGTCCTTCCTCTGACCTCAAGGCCTTTATGAACTTGGACTGTATGCGATGAGCTAGTCCAATTAGCAGTGATATGTGCAAATAAAAAAAGCCTCAGTACACAGCAAAACTGTAGTTAGTTATCTATGATGGGAAAAGGATGGATTTGAAGTTGTTAGGGACCACCAAAGAGACAAACATTGAGTTAAGGGACAGTATGCTATTGCCCCTTGTATCGCGGCACTTTACCTCTTCGGCAGAGTGGATATGAGACTGAAAAACCACAAAAGCAAAATTCTTATGCAAAATAAGAAAATTTATTACCAAGAAAAAAAGCTAAATAAGCCTTATAACTTCTGTCACTTTTAGCAGAATTAAAAATCACTAATTTTAGAGATCACACAGCTGGGTAATACAGTGTTAGTTTCCCAGCAGCTTTACTGTAAATAACACCTCTGAAGTTTGGTTTAATAACTGCCTAGGTTACTTTACACAAGCATAAAGGATGCACTTGTAGAATCACTGCCTCTTCAGATATAAGCCTGATAGAGGATAGATGACTAAAATGGAATAAAACTTGGCATCTCTGTTGCCGAACTATGTCTGTCCCCTTAATTCTTGGGTCAGAGCCTATCCAGGTCTGCATATAGGGATGTTGTTCATCCAAGAATATAATACAGGGTTAAGTCGTCTTATTGAGCATCAGAGCTATTATGTGTTTTTCTTTCTCTCTCCAGTCTTTCTGCCCCCACCCTCTGCTCCTCACAGCTGCAACCTGAGCACCTAACATCCTTCAACCCTAAGCTTGAAGCCCCAACCAAACTACAAGGTGGAAACGTTTGCACAAGATGATAACCCCAAGTACAAGAGTAACTCAACGGTTCCAAAAACAAGTTAACCATGACACCTGGTGATCCAGTCTCATGAGAGAAAGACATCTTTTAAAACTGTGCCCTTGGCTGGTAGACACTTGACTGGCCTTTTAGCCCACCCTCAGCAGATCCAGAAAAGTTTGCTGCTTTCTTTGTTGTACAAACAGCCTGGTCTTCCATTTATTTATTATTTATCTGGCTCCCTTCAGCTGAAATGTCCCCCAAAGTCTTGAGCATGCGTGTGCTTGCAGTATTTGACTTAGTCAAAGATCCGATATAGTGTCATTTAAAATAAGACCTATGCTGGGGATATAGCTCAGCAGCATAAGCACTTGCCTGGCAAGTGTGAGGTCGTGAGTTCAATCCCCGGCATTGCAAAAAAATAAAAAATAAAATAAAATAAGACCTATATTGTTAAATTGAGAAAAAAAAACTTATCTTTCGCTGTTGATCTTATAAACCTTGGCATCTTATCATATGCAAATCAGTATGCAAAATTCCAAATCAGTTCTTATTTAATTACACATGCATTATTTCTATGTAATTTCAAAACATAGGTTGGTCTTCCAAATACTTTCTACATGTTGTGTTGATGGTGGAAGCAAATGCTTCTGATTTCATTCACTTCAAGTTACTTTCGCTACAATAAGAGAAAGTAACCTGGGAAAGGTTTCCTGGGGGTGAGAGACAAGAAACATGGTACTGTATCCTGTGAAAAAAGTTGGTGCCTTCAGTCCTGGGTGTTGTGACTTTCTTCAGGATTAATTATTTTCTAAACCCCTTTTCCTTGATTTATTAGCTATTAAAAAGTTTGTGAATTACACAAAAGTAGTATTTCATTATTATTACTGTAAATACTAAAAGCATTTTAAAATACTCGTCTTCTGAAATGTTAGTCTTTTCCATGACAATTATCTAATTTCCGTTATCCCTACCAGACTGTTTCTTACCAATTTCTTCAATAAAGCCAGTCAAATTCCATAAGCAGAATTATTTCCTCATTATATGGTCCTACAATATTCTGTTTACATCCCTATAATTCCTTCATCATGGACTTATATTAAAGGTATGTTATTCATCATTCCAGAAACACCTAGTGCAAAATTCAATATTTATGGACCTAGATTTACATGATCATTTTTTCCAGATCATTTTCTTCCTATATTAATATTTCAACAAAATAGCTTGGCATCTTTTTCCTAAGACAACCAAGTGAATAAGTCCTCACTAAAGGAAAAAAAATTTTTTAAATCCAATATTAAAATAAACACAAAATTGATTATCCATTCTGCAGGGAACTCAATATGACCCGTATGTTTCATTCACCCACTCCTAATTTCTTCTGACTCAAGCCAGCAAATTACAATCTTTATGCCTAATCTAGCTGCTTACTTCTTACATGGCCTGAGAATCCTTTCAAATTTTAAATGTTTGGGAGAAGAGGAATCAAAATAAGAATAATATTTAGGATAGGAGAGGAGAAGTAAAAAGAATTAATACATATTATGAACTTGTATCAACTCCCCACAATGAATGTAATCATGTATTGCAAACAGGTACCAAAAAAATTAAAAATTTAAGCATAACATTTGGTGATGCGTGACAATTTTTGAAATTGAAAGTTCAACATTCACAAATAAAGTTTGCTTGGAATATAGGCTTTCCTGTTATTTACTTAATGGTCTACATCTGTGGTTTCCTTACCAGCACAGGGCTGAGTCACTGCAATACAGACTATGTGGCCCACAAAGCCTAAAATATTTATGAGCTGGCACTTTGCAAAATACATTTGCCAGTCTCCTGAACATTCCAGATTTTAAACTGCCCTATAAATGCTCACCTGTTTGTCAGATAATAAAATTGAAACAAGGAAATAAGATTTGATTGTTATTTTTAAATAAAAATTATTTGATTCCAGTTATAACAAGAGATATATGTTCATTATAGTAAAAATATTCAACAGCAAAAGTAATTGAAAAAAGAGAAAATACAATTCTATCTCACCAAATCAACCTCTGATTATATTTTGCTGTATTTTCTTCCCATCTCTTCTTCGTACATGTTTTTCCAGTTCAAAAGTAACATCATTTTGTAAAAATACAAATATGACATTTTAGAAAAAAATATCCCTAAACTGGGCATGTTATGTGTATTCATTATCCCAGTTCTTAGACGGTTAAAAGATAGGAGCATTGCAGGTCCAAGGCTAGCCTGAGAAAATTAAGATAAATTTTAAAAGAACAGGGAAATAGTTCAATACTATAGAGATTCAATCCCTATTATTGATGGGGGATAAATCATCCCTATTCCCAACCCATTAGAAATAACTACTTAGAATTTTCCTTTACTGTGTTTCCAGAAGCATAATTGTATCTTCAAGACATAAATCATCCTTGGATATATAACTTGGTATGTAAGATTTTTCACAAGAACTATGTGTATTTATCATGTCTGTTTGTTTTAACATATTTATAGTATCTATAAATAAGTATAGTATTCATAAGTATAGCATCTATTCACATATATGCTGTTTTTGCACTTCACATGACTGGAGGAATAATTCATCCAGCTATTCTGTTTTTCTGAAAATGTCCTAAATATCACCAGATGCTTAAACATGCCTATCCAGAAATCCCAAAGTAAGAAAAAATCATCTCTTTGATTCTAGTTTATGATGCTAAAGATTTTCCAAAAGAATAAGAATGTTTTCATAATCTCTCGTAGAAATTTATGGGTTTTCAGAATGCTCACTTTTTGACACAGATTCATACCTACACACTTTTCTTTCTGTTATTACATACTGATTTCTTTTTGTTATTGTTAATTAAAGTCTTGCAAGACATCTAAAATACCTGTAAGCCCACTATCATGCAACACATAAGGATGTTCCATTTCAGTCAATGATGGGCCACACCAATAACGATAGTCCCATAAGCTTAGAATTCAGCTGAAAATTTCTATTGCCTAGTGAGGTAGTAGCCAGTGTAATGTCACAGCACAACACGTTACTCATGTGTTTGTGTGACATTATTGTAAACACACCTGCTGCACTGGCAGTCATATGAAAGGACAGCACATACAATTATGCACAGTATGTAATACTTGATAATGATGATGATGATGAACAGTTGTTATGGTTTATGCATTTATTATATTATACTTTTATCTTTGTCTTAGAGTGTACTTATTTTTTAAAAAAAACTGTACAATAAAATCATATCCCACGTTCCAGCAGCAGCAGCCTCATAGGGCTGGTGTTCCTCCTAGATTCGTGTAAGTACATCTGACGTCCCCACAGAGATGAAACTACCTGACAATGCATTTCTCAGACCATGTTCCCATCATTAACTGAACATGCCCGTGCTTTCATTTGAGCATTAGAGTGGTGCTTCTCGATAGTAACAG